CAATAACTATTCCTTAGAGCTAAAAATTGCCTGTCCCAGAGCCAAGAACAAAACTGAACTACTGAGTTCTATGACAGGGGACAGAAATCAGAACAAATATGGCGCTAATAAGAAAAACGTATGGATCGCCGTACTTTGCTCACTGCAACTAAGAAATAAGAGAGTAAAACAAAATTGCTCAATTTGGGTTTAAATTCTAAATCTAAAATGTACCAGATTCAGACCTCTGTATGACTTACAGGATTAAATAAAGACAAGGAACTATAGCCAGAGCACTGCTCCCAGGATCTGACAATGAATCAGAGGAATCCTATAGCTTCCCTGTCACTCAATTTATCTCTTTCCATAAAGTGTGTAGAATAATGACACATCATATAGAACTGTTTTAAAAAAATGGTTTTTAAGGTCTTACTTGCAAATAGTTACATAAATAAAAATAATAACTGATAATAATGAATTCTTTTAAGAATCCCTGAATTTGTTTGTTGAGTAAATACAGTATTAGAACATTTTCTACAATGAAACATCATGATTTCTTTTGAATTTATAGGTAAATGTTTGTCGTCTACGTAACAGTCTAATTCCAAATATGCTAATCACCCCCAAACATGCAGGTATGATTATTCTTAAACATAACTAATCACAAACAGGCAGAGTGATTTCAAATGCAATTTTTCCACAGTAATTTTATTCTATCAGAGTTTCAGGAAAAACTGCTTTAAAAAGGAAAAGAAAAGCACTTAAATTCTTTTGGTCTAAATTAAATACAAACATTCTTTTTTTTTAAAACTGGGAAGACCCTGGGAGATAAGAGGAAGGAAAAACTTGCTTCCGTATTCTTTTTTCAGGTAACCAAAGAGGGGTGCAATGTAAGTTAAAGAAGTTTGCAGTGAGGTTAGATTGTGGCTTTGTTTTAGGTTGCCAGTATGAGTTTTTATTTAGAAAAAATGCATGAGTTACTAGCTTTCCTTTTTTAATGAAAAGTTTATATCAGAATTCTATTAGTTTCTATTACTTACAAAATATAAATACTATGTTATAGCATATTCAGTATTAAAACACACCTCTGCAAATAAATCTCCTTTCAAGTGAGTTGTGTAAGTGATCTGGACCTCTGTCTATGGAGTGGGAATAAGGAAGACCAAGAAAGGTACAGGCTCGTTACATTGGACTTAAGCTGAAGATACCCGTAAATATATTACACAAATACTACAAGACTATCAAGTTATCAAGTTAGTAACTTTATTTTGTAGAACTATCTTAAAAATACATTATATTTCCAATTCTTAAGAAATCTGGTTTCTGATGTTAATCATTAAGTACCATGATTTCAACTCTGAATACTTAATATTTTTTCCAAAGACTCATTTTTAATGCTTGAAATAACCATGGTTATACTTTTATCTAACAGTATTTTAGTTTACTAAACAGAATAGATTAATTATGAACTGACATAATAAATAATTCATTATCCAGCTAAAGGCCTACATCACATACTGTATATGTGTAAAATAGGAGGACAAGTTCAGACTTGTTTGTGACCTGCAAGTCCAATTATTTAGAAACTATGATCAACCTAAATGCAAAACCCTTTTGATAATTATTAAATGCCACATTTGTTTAATGCAATTTTAAATTCTCATTAGTAATGATACCAAAGGTTGATACAATGTACTACAAAACTGATAATCTTTCAGAACATTATCAAGTGATAAAATAATTGGTAAAAAGATATTGTTGCTTCAAAAAAATGAAAAGAGATACCTAAAGAACTGTACTCTTACCTATTAAAAGTCATTTTAATTTTATACACATACACACACTATTTCGTAGGAAGAGATTGTGGTGAAGGAGATTTCACTTTCTAATGTCTTTATTTTATATAGTCACTTGATGAATAACATAAATCCAGTCTTGCGGAGCAGCGGCTATGAGTCTATATATTACATAGAGCCACTAACGTTGTTTATGATCCACAAACGTTGTTTATTCTAAAGTTTTAAATATAAAGAAATAATTTTTGCAAATAGGATTTCTAAAGCTTAAAATTAAATGCTACTAAGTGTGCCAGTACAATTTTATGAAGCTATAAAATTGTACATTTGGGGATTAAGGTGTTTGTTGTCAGTTTTCCTTTTCAGAACAAGTACCAAAAACTGAAGCACACTGTACTTCAGAAGTTTTTCTTACATTAAAATCAGCGCGGTTAAGTTGTAATGGATGTGTAAATATAAATTATCAATTAAAGAATAATTAAATCACATGATTTACCAAAAAGAGCACCACTCCACTATCATTATCATTCAAACACTTCAGTCCACTCCCTATACAACTTATTCATATTTTAAAAATATAAGGTGAATGTTCCTTTCCCCTACTGTTCTCGTAATAAATTAAAACATATACTTACTAATTCAACTTTCAAATTTGCCTTTCTTAAAAGATTTTAGTCCTTTAACCTGGATGTCCCTTACCTGAATGTAAAAACCAAAGTGCTCAATTCAGATTTCAGAGACACTAGTTACATCAAGTTAATAGGGGGGAAAAAAAAACCTGGTTTCTGGAAACCTTGATGGTAAGGAGATTAAGCATCTCTTCCTTTAAATTACAGCTTTAAAAGGGCGTAGGGCATCCATCGAAGAATAAAGCCTTCTCTCTCTCTCTCACACGCACACACACAAGGCAATCCTATTTATCTGACCTATTCAAACTGTCACAGCAGGACTATTGTTAACCCTAAAAAATTCTCCTTTAAAATATTTAAACTTCATTTTAAAATTAAAACTGAAAGCAAGATACTCAGCTGCCAACTACTGTGTAGTATGAAACTATTAAAGCCTGCACTGACCTACTTCATATTATCATCATGACAATATGGATGTATGCCAAGAAAATAATGAAATTACTATATAACAAACTTTAATTTTCTATTCAAAAATTGTCACTGTTTTTAAATGTGTAAATATTGTACTGCAAGGCCAGTTGTTTTACACTTTTTAAGTTGCAATATAAAAAAAGGAGTTTTGATATTTCAGTAATCATATTCAATGATGAACATGCAAGATCTCATTTTTAAAATCAGAGCTTTTTTAAACACCACATTTAATTCTATTTTTAAACTTCTATTAAAAGCAGTCTCTTAGACTAAACTCCAAATAATGCTTTCCATTTTTAAAATAGCACTACACTTTTTAAAACATGTCAGTTAATGAAGAACCCTACAAAAATAATGCAAGTTCACGTTCAAAGAATATTTGCAATGGCTCTAACAGAGGACAGACTTAAGTCAGTGTATTTAATTATTAAAAGACTGCTACCAGTCTTTCAGAGTTTAATCTAATGTTGAAATATTGGAAATTCTCATACAAGAAAGTATAGGAATAGCAAAGGATATTTCATCCATGGTTTCTAAAAAAAGACACACGGAATGGCAACACATTTATTTTAAATTAAACACATCCTTTTAAATTAGAAAATCACTTTGCTGTGTAAACTACCACCTTAAAATATCTCATACTAAAGAAAGCCTTTCTTCACAATCAATGCAAAGATTAAGATCCCTGGAAGAGAATTTTAATCTCAGAATAAAGAAGGCAAAAACATCCAGAAACAGCAGCTAAACCAACTGAAAGGAAGAGACACATTAGGTTTTGTGCTGCATATTAATATTCTTACGCACAGTGTCTGTTTGGTGAAAATTCACAATACACTTCTTCCTCCCAGTATGACTGCAAAAAGGAGTAAACACATTTTACATTCCTCAGTCCCAAATTCATGCTACCATCATGCACCATGACTTAATTTCGACCCGTATTCCTCTTACACATAAGTGAAAAACATAAATGACTTGTTTATCTGCACTCGAAATTGAGGAGGGGGCAAAAGCATTTTTTGGCTCCGGAGCCCAGGAGCTGATGCAAAGTCCCCACACCTCCAGAGGTCCTATGAATATGCACCCGACTTTGTGGAGACCCCCATTCAATGAATGCATCAGCCTCCTCCTCGGCTCCCTTGCCCGCCGCCCCCCACCCGCTTTGCAGCAGAAATGTGCCTGGGCTTTTTTACCCCAGCGATGGAGGATCCTCTTACCAGATGGAGTTCTTGATCCTGTGTTGCAGCGCGCTGGCCTCTGTCCCTGGCAGCCCGGGCACAAGGGCTGGCAGAGCCACCCCCGAGTTGGGGGCGCTGGGGGGAGGCTGCTGATGGGCATCAGGCTGCTGTGGTGGCGGCTGTTGTTGTTCCTCTGCCATCGCTGCTGGAGGGGGGGGGGAGGGACGGGGGGGGGGAGGGAGGGAAGATGGGGGCGCGGGGAAGGGTGAGGGAAGAGACGGGGAGGGGAGGACGTCGGGGGAGAGGAGGAGGGGGGAGGGGAAGAGGAGGAGGAGGACGAGGAGGAGGAAGGAAGCTGGATAAGCTAGGCCTTTACCCCAGGGCTCGAGTGAGTCGCTTTCGCCTGCCGCCTGGGGGACATCACCGGGGAGACCGAGCGGCTCCTTACGGCCGGGGCGCTTCACCGCGGGAGAGGCATGGCGGCGCCCCTCAGCCCCCCGCCGCCGCCGCCGCCGCCTCCTCCCGTCAGCGGCCGGGGCTTGGGGGGGGTGAGGAGGGGGCGTCTGAACACGAGGTGGGGGGGCAGGGCTCCCCCAAATCCAAGGAGAACGGTTGCTCAGGGACCTGGCGGCCTGGCCTTCCTTTCTTGCCCCCGGGGCTTTCTACTCCGGCAGCCCCGCGCTGCTGCAGCCCCAGGCTCGGCTCCACGCCACTCCCCACGCCGCCGCCGCCGCCGCGGCCACCGCTGCCCTGCCAGCCCCGGAGGCAGCCCAGTGCGCGCAGCCGCACTGCGGCCCGGCGCAGACGGCAAAACACCTACCGCTCGGCCGCGGGGGGGGGGGGG